AGACATATCACTGCAGAAATAGGAATGTGTTTGATTTGGGGCGTTTTGTACTATATAGTATATGCCCTCTTAACTTTCTAAATTTAGAAAAATCCTGAATCCTCAAAAGCATCTAGCTCCAAAATGTTTGGACCTGTACCTTGCTAAAAGCAGCAAGCAGCTGCCAACTCACCCTAAAATTCTGGATCTTTCCAACTTAGGACGGAGTTGGAAAGTTCTTTCTTTCTGGAAGTTCTTCTTCCAGTTCTTTCCAACTTTCCAACTTCTCCCATAATTACAGGTTCACGAGGAATCTCTGTTTGCCTCCCTGGTTCTCCCAGGAAGCGTTTTACCAACTATATTCCCTCCCACCACCCCCACCCCCCTGGATCCACCTCACCTACTGCTAAAACAATGCTACATATTTGGGATTTTTATTATGGCGGCCCTCCAGTCCTGGTTCTATTTTTTTTTTAAGAGGGAGAACACATGAGCAGGGGTGGAAGGCAAAGGGAGAGGGAGTGGGAGAGAGAGCATCTTAAGCAGGTCCCTTACTCAGCATGGAGCTGACATGTGGCTCAATCTCTCAACCCTGAAATCATGACTTGAGCAGGAACCAAGAATCAGACACTTAATGAACTGAGCCAATCTGGTGCCCCTCCTGGTCCTAATTTCTATATATTTAGAAGAGTCTAAAATGCTATAACGCCAAATGAAATGGCTCAAGCAAAGTAAATTCTTACTTCTTGCTCATGGGACTTTTCTGCAGAAGCTAGTCCAGGTTGGCAAGAAGCTCTCTTCCACATAGTCCTGCAGGGACCCAGGCTGACGGTAGGTCTGCCACCCAAGGTTACCCTGGTCATCACCACTCCAGCTTGCGAGCAGCGGGAAAGGCAAGGGCAGGCAGTTGCACAGGTCAGGTCTGGAGATAGCACACCTCACTTTCGTTTACATTCCATTAGGGAGAACTCACTCACACAGCCAACCTAACTATACGAGAATTTAAGAAACATAGTGTAGTTGGACAGTCCCTGTGAACTTCCACTGGTGAACAGCCAAACATTTCTGACCATGTTCATTCTAGCCAGGAATGAGTCTGGCTAGACTGCTGTTTGGGATTTTTAGGGATATGGAAAGGAGGGGACCCATGGTCATCTGCTAAGGGCAGGGGATGATGTTAGGGAAAATCTAGAAGAGAGTGAAATGAGAGCAGTCATGGTGCGTGAGGAATATGAACAGAGGTGGAAGAGAAAGCTGTTGGATCTATTACTAGCTGCTCCTCCTTATGCTGAAAAGCCCAATAGTAGATAGAGACCTCTGTCCTAAACCTCATTCTATTCTCTCTTCATGTGATTTTAAATACCATCCATATGTCTTCCATTTCCAAAAGTGTATCTCAAGCTCAGACCTGGGAGCCAGGCTCTTACAACAACTCTTTATCTTCCAGATATCTAAAGGGTACCCCCAAATAAGGTACAGTTGGAGAAACGGCTAGTTGTTCCCCAAATCCTCTTCACCTCAAGCAGCCAGCTAATCATTTCCCAGCTTCCCACACAATGAGATGAAGCCATAGAGCCTGGCCGACCAAAAGTAGAAAGGGCTTAGATTCATGAATAAATGTATAAAACATTTCCACTGAAGACCCACATTGAACTGTTTTGTGAACAAGAAAAGAAAAATCTACCGTGTTCAGCCATTCCTATTTTAAAGTCATTTGTCCAGCAGCAGTAGCCTACCCAGACTACAGATGTCCAAAACTGAACTTGACTCTCCGACCCAAAATCCTTCCCCCGCCCATCTCCTCTACCTTGATAATTCATGCTTTTCTCCATTCTACTGCTGAGAACAGAAGCTTTCATTTCTTTCTTTTCCTTACCCACACATTCAGTCCATAAGCAAGGGCTCTTTGTTCTCTCTCTCTCTTTTATTCAGTTTTGCTAAAATAACAAACAAACCCAAACTCACAGTGAGTCACAATAAATGTTTATGCCTCACACACAAGTCTGCAGGCTGGCTGTGACTGAGCTAGGAGGCTTTGCTAACCTTGGTTGAGTTCACCCCAGTTCAGCTCCAGATTGCAAAGCAGTTTTGGATCTGCCAAGCCATGTGTCTCATTCTGGGACTCAGAGTCAAGAAGCAATGGTTTCCCAAAGCATGCTCTTTTTTCACAGTGGGAGGGGCGGAAGCACGAAAGAGATGACAGAAATTTCCCATGCCTCACTGAAATCTCAGTCACGATCTGTGATTTCCTTGTTTTTAATTGCTAGTTTCTCCTATTAAAATGTAAGCTCTACTAGTGCCTGGCCTCTAGTAGGCACTTCTATGTTTATTAATGTTAAATGGGAGCATTCTGGAAAACTGGTTTGAGGCTAGATCGCTAAGGATCTTGAAATGCCATCTTTGAGAGTCTGGACTTCTCTCAAAGGCATTAGTGAGCCATCAAAGAGGTCTGCTTTAGAAAGGTAACAACTAAGGTAGTTGGGTGATGAATTCTAAAAGAGAAACCAGCTCAGAGGCTACTGTAATAGTCCAGACCAGAGGATACTTAAGCCTAAACTAAGGCAGAGGGACTAGTAAGGAGACTTTTGAGATGTCATCATCAACAATCAGCAATAAGAACAGTTACTAAGTGTCTACAGTAGGCCCAGACTCTGTGCTATCTTCGTAACAGGCAAGCAGAGTAGGTGCAGTGCAGCAAACCTGCATACGCAAGGGTAAAACACAGCTGAATAAATGGCTGTTCTGGGATTCTGATTCCCAAGCCCACATTTCTAGCTCAGGTAATACTTAAATGCATAAAGGTCTGGTGGGAAAGATAGGGAATGTGGCTTTGGATGCCCTGTGAGAAGCCTGTAATACAGTAAATGGTTCTTCGTGAAACAGACGGACTCTGGTTGACTTGCTGAAAAGGGTATTTCTTGGAAGACTGGGGGAATGGGGTGATGCTCACAGAGTCAGTGATAGGCTGGAGATACAGGTTTCACAAAAAGGTCAGGAACTCAGGGCGTTCCAGAGGGCTGGGCAACAGGAACTAGTCATTCACACCTTCTTCTGACACTCCTCTTCCCTTTCTTTTTGTTCCGTTTTATTTTGCTACAGTCCACTGCTCATAATCTTTCATCCCACGTTTTCTGTCCTCAGTAAAGTCCGGTTAAGCCAGCTCCACCTCCTTCTTCCCCTAACCTGGCATCTCTTGTGATGAGATTTTTAAAAGGTCCCGCCCCAGTGAAGTGCTTGTCTGTGGTCAGAGATAACTGGGGGAGGGGCCGAATTACTGCTGCCGGTTCTCCAGTCATTCCTTTTACCACCTCAAGCTGCCTCTTCCTATAAAATATTAAGTGTCTTACTGGGTTCCGGCTGCTGTAACAAAAATACCATAAGCTGGTGGCTGAAACTGCAAACTTTTATTTTTCCAAGTTCTGGAAACTGAGAAGGTCAAGATCAAGGTGCCAACGGATTCTGATGAGAACCTGCTTCCTGGTTCACAGACCGCAGTCTTTTTTGCTGTGTCCTCACATACAGACTGATAAGGGAGCTCTCCAAGATCTTCCGTTATAAAGGCACTAATCCCTTTCATGAGGACTCCACCCTCATGGCCTAATCGTCTCCCAAAGGCCCCACTTAAAAATATCCTCACAGTAGGGACTAGATTTCAACAGTAGACGACACAGTCTACAGCAGCAAGGGGGTATTTTCCCCTCACTAATGCAGAACTGCTTTCCTGCTTTCTTCCTTTCAGTGTTCAATCAAAGCAAGCCCTCTACATTCAACCTGCCAGAAACTTTTAAAACGTAAGCCCTTTTTGTACCTAAGGAGAAGCTGAAAGCATGGGACATGAGAACTGCTGAAACAGCAATAAAGATTTTATGCGCCGTCGAAGTACTTCTAAATGTACGGGTAAATCAACACAATGAAAAGGAAAAAAAATTAAAAAGAGAGAGAGAGAGAAGAAAAGGAAAAAATATCCAGCCTAAACCCTTCCAACATCGAGATTCCAACCTTTCCACACCCTGACTTGGAACCATTCGGCTCCCAAGCATCCTCTCTCACAGCGGGGGGAGGTACCCCCACCGAAGTGACCCTAGGGGAGACCCAGAGGTGGCGACCGTCGGTAGTGTGAGGGCATCCAGTGGAAAGGGGAGAGGGACGCACTTAAAACACGAGAAAACTGGGGACTTGGTGCCTTGTGGGGTTGGCTCTTCCCGCTGAGTTTACGGAAGGTAGAAACAAGTTCTACCCCTCAGGCCGACCCCGCCTGCACGCCTGTCAGGACCTCACCGCCTCAAGCCCGCTCCAGCGCTGGACTCGAAGGCGTACCTGGGCTTTCGAACACTCTCAGAGGTCTGTGGGTCCCCGAGGCGGTGCGGACTCGCCCCCACGGAAGAGCCGTGAGGCGGGCGCCAGTGAGCCGGCCGGCGGGAGCCGCGGGCGAGGGTGGGTGCGGGCGTCTCGCGGGCTGGGCTCCCTTCCGACTCTCGGCAAAGTTGGCTACAACAATACTTATTAGCTGGGGAAATGTACACGCCCCAACATCTCTAAATCCTCTCACTTGGCGAGTGCAGCAAGCTGCGACCCTACGGGCCTTTCCGGCCCAGGAGAGCAGAGAAAACTAACCCAACCCACCCTGTCCCCCGGAGCTGGGGCGCTACCACTTCCGCGTACCGGTCGTTCAAGCCGCGCATGCGCCTACAAGCAAGCTACGGTGGCCCTGCTAAGGACAAATTATTGACGTGCAAACCCGATCCTAAAAGTATGAAGAGACTGGGGTAATTTAGGAGGCCACGGAGGCATTTACGGAAGGGAACTGATACATGGATTTGAGATGAGGAAGCTAAAGTGTGGACAGCCGTTAGGGGGAAGAAAATCCAGTTTCCGCGGCCCAAACACCCAACAGTGACTGCAAATTAACACTCAGAAGGCGCGCCCGGTGTGCCGCCCCCCGCCCCCCGATGTGGGGGCGTGGTCTCGCGCTGCCTCGGGCGGGGGCGGGACCTGATTCGGGCCCCGCCCCGCCCCGCCCCGCCGGTGGCCAAGGGCGCGGCACCCTCACGGCGCGGCACCCTCACATCGCCGCAGTGCTGTGGTCTGCACCAGCGGAGCGGAGGTGATCCAGGTAAGTCCACGCAATTACTGGCAACGCGGAGCGTGGGCCTCGGGGCGCTTCTGGTCCAGCGCTAGGCACCACCCCTACCTCTGCCATCCCGGGCTGAATAGGGATGCGCTCCCTTTCCCCTTTCTGGTCTGTACACTTCCGTCTATCTTTCCATCCCCTTTGCCCCCCACCTGCCCTGCATCCTCCCCCGATGGAGTGGGTTTGGGGCGTTGAAATGGGGTCCACCTCGCTATCTGTAACTCAGGGAGATTCTCAAGGTCAACCCTTCAGTACCTTCCTTTCCTCTCTTCCTCTCCCCGGGTTGTGCAGACCCGGCCTCTTGTTTCTGCCTCCCAGAGCCCACCCGACCTTGCTAAGTGCAGCTGATGGGCTGGCTGCACCTGCTGGGGCAGTGGGCAGTGCAGGCCCGATCGGTAACAAGTGCCCTGGGAGCCCTGCGCCTGCTGCGGATGTGGATGTGTTGCTAGGAACCCTCCGGAAGAACCTCCCGGGAGAACCTTCCAGGGAATTGTGTTTGTTTTCCTGCTGCCTCATAGAAACGTTTGTCCGTTTGTACTGAAACCCGTATGTGGGTCATTTCCTACCTCTGCCCGAGAGCAGGAGACTCCTCGAGGGAGGAGGACTCCTAACGTACGGTTCTGCTTTGGATTTCAGAGAATTTTCCTACTTATCTGTGTCACTGCAGGGAGCCCCAGGGCCACTGCGGTGGGGCAGCTGCAGGGCGGTGGAAGGGGCTGGAGACTCATTGGTGAGTCATTCTCCTAAGTTGTAGCTTCTGCTGTTACTTTCCTTTCCGACCAGGAGTTTACGAGCTACTTTGTAGCTTAAGGGACAAGTGAGTGTGGAACAGGAGGTAAAGGAAAAGATGAGACAAGAGCGTGGGTTGGAAAGGAGTGACAGTTGGGGCTTTAATCTCTCAACTGGAGAAAGGGAGCCCTAGAGGGAAGGACACTGCTTTGCAGACCAATGGCTTTTTGCGGGCGCTGCAGACCCAGGCGTGGTCCTGTGGAATTGCTGCAGATTTGAGATGTCCTCTGTGCGTGGGAGCTGCAGCCAGGGCTTCTCTTGGGAAATCTGTAGATCACCAAGAGCCTGCAGTTTGTGGGAAGCACCCAAGGTTATCGGTCAGAGTTAAAGGCTATGTTTTAATTCAGTGAACTCAGTATTAAGAGCATAGTATCCTGGTCAGGGGATCAAGAATGTTTATTCTCGGGCGCCTGGGTGGCTCAGAGGGTTAAGCCTCTGCCTTTGACTCAGGTCATGATCTCAGGGTCTTGGGATCGAGCCCCACATCGGGCTCTCTGCTCGGCGGGGAGCCTGCTTCCTCCTCTCTCTCTGCCTGTCTCTCTGCCTACTTGTGATCTCTGTCTGTCAAATAAATAAATAAAATCTTTTAAAAAAAAAAGAATGTTTATTCTCACAGGAGTTAAATTTAACCAAGTTCAGTAAAATGAGCCTCTAAAATCCAAAGAAATACTTTTACCCCAGGGAAGGCATTGTTAAGCTTCCATCCTGACACAGTGTTACAGAAATAGAAAACTTTGTCAAGCAATTTTTTTTTCCTTGAACTGATGTTACTATATATAAAACAGATACACTAGAAAGATCACTGTAGCCAGCTATAGAAAGTGTACACCAGGGGCTTCCTTAGATTAAGGAACAAAACTGGAGAAGGGCAGTCTTCCCCCTAATTTAGACTTCCTTCTGTTGGCCTAGAGCCCTGAAGAGCCAGTCATGAAAGGGAATTTCCTAACTTGGAGGACAGCAAAGGGAGTGAAAGTACAAGAAAGAAGGGCTTTACCCTATTATCCAGAGACAGGCTGAAAAGCCCCTGGAGCAATTTGCAATGAAGTAGATGAAAAATCAAGCCTGCAAGATGTAATTTAATGCCTGCTGCACAGTTCGCTGTATTTAAACCTATTATTCCCTATTTAATATTTAAATATTCTGAATCTGGATTCAGAATACAGTTGCTAACCACAACTGACCGTGAGCCATTTAGTATTTTTATGCAATGTTTTTTTTTAAAGAATCTACATAATGCTACAGTTTCTGCAGTTGAATTCATCAATACCACTTATGGTTTGCAGTCCTCCTAAAAAAGGAGGATTCAGCAGTTACGAGCTAGGATACTACTGTGTACAAAAGCATTCCTGTTTCCCTCATCCTCTCTTCCAATGTCTACCTCCCTACTTAACCCTTGTGAGGAGAAAAACATCAATGAGGAGCTGGGAAAAATTGCAGTACCTTCCAGATAACATTTGCAAATACTTTTAAGGATTCCATCGTTTGGGCTTGTAAGTCCCCCTGTTGGCCCTCTGAATTCTTGCCAGCGTTGACCTGTTCATTAACTGGAACTCAGTTCTCTAATACTTTGGTGCTTTAGTTACTCTTTTTTTTTTCCCCTTAATTTGTGGTATTTTAATTCCCCATCCAAAGCAATGTGAATGATTTCAGCTCAGCTTCATCCTAAGTACAGACAGGCACAAAGAGACTAACCCTGTTTCAGGCAGCTCCATGGTTCATTCATCCAGAATGTCTGATACCTTGTGAGGACTCAGCGGCTGCTGAGGATTAACTACGGTCTGCCCACATTTCTTGGGATGGAAAATCCAAGTGGTGTCACTGTGACTCATTTGAGATTTTTGTTTTCCTCTTGTGGAAGTCAGGGCTTAGTTTCCCCATGACCTTCAGTTCTGTGTAATGCCAGTTAAGGCACAGGTTGTGTGGAAGTCATGATAGGAAAAGAAATACCAATTTCTGTGTTGCTTTGCTCCTTGCAAACCCGCACACCCGAAAGACTGGAGGAAGTTTTTCCTTCCTGGAATTTCTCCTCTTGTCATAACTGCAGTGCTGACACTCATTAAAAAATTTAAAAATAAGTTACTTTTTGGACCTCTTCCAAGGTTTTTTTCTTTCTTCCAACTAGAAAGTTCTCAGGCTTTAATCAGTCACAGACTTGGAGTTAATTATTAGCTCTCTATTCCTATTAATATAGTTCATGCTCGGGAGAGAGTTTGAGGAGATAGAAAAGTTCCAAAAGAAGTCAGGTGTGGTCAGACTTGATCTCCAATCTCATTAAGAGGCAATAGGGGTGAGGGTCGAAAGCATAGACTCTGGAGCCCAGCAGCTCTGGCTGTGTGTGAGTCCAGGCTTCCTCTGTGATGGCTGTGTGACCTTGGGCAGATTACTTAACCTTTTGGATGCTCTGCCTCCTCATCTGCAAAATAAAAGTAATACAATATCATAGGTATGCTCTGAGCAGCTAATACTGGTGAGCTACTTAGAATAGTATTCGGCATACATTTAAATAATACAGGCTAATAATTGATTTCTCCTACCACGCTAGTTTGTATCACCGCACATACCCTTCTAGTATCTACCCTTCCGACACACGGGTGTCCTTTCTCTTTCTTACACAAGCAAAGCCCTGTCCTGGCTCCTGTGTCCTCGCTGTTGACTCGCCCTGTGTCTCTCTCGCCCACCACTTGATGTCCTTCAGAGCCCTTCTCTCAATCTGCTGCGGCCCTGTTTCGTGGTCCTCCTGTGTTGTCTAGCTTCCCGTCACTGTGTCTTCTGGGGCGTCAGGACCTTGGCTCTCAGTCTGGATGACCATCAGAGCCTTGAACATCTCGCTGCCTCGTGTGGTGCCCGACATTGAGTGGGGGATAAATCAGGGAAGAAACCATTCCCCAAAGCGATACTGAAGATAGTGGTAGGTGCGGGCTTGAGGTAGGCACTCTATTTAGGTAAAATGGTTTGCCTGGCATTGATCGTATCAAATCAGCTCCATTTAATGAATTGTTAATTGTTAAAGCGATTTTTATCTTCTTCTGCGTTCCATGGCTTCTCCCCATTCTTTCTCCTGCCCTCTGAGGTGGGTGCCTCCAGACCACAGGATCACATCCCCTGGGACCTCTGCTCCAGATGGCCCAGCATGGCCCTGGACTTCTAGGGGAGGTGCCAACACACCTCTCACCCCATAGAGCCTTTCACGTCAAGAACCTGTTTGGGAAATTTGTCATCGCGCCAGCAGGAGAACAAAGGAGTTGTTCTGTCTTGGTACAGTCTACTCTTCCTAGAGTCAAGGAGCTGAATTACCAGTTTCTTCCAGGGGAGACTCTGTTCCATTCAGGCAGAACTATTCCCATGAACTTGGGCATCATGCTGGTCCCGCCCTCCCCGCCCTCCCCCACACCAGCCAGTGCACACAGTTAGGTATTGTTTGTTTGCAGCACGGACAGTTCGCCGAAGTGTTGGAATTAAAACAACATGGGAAACTTGATTTCTTTTTTTTTTTCTTTGAAAGCACAAGCGGGAGGGACAGGGAGAGGGAGAAAGAATCTTTAAAGCTGAATGCATTTGGATTATAACACATTTTTCTCTTAAAAGGGACAGATCCGGGGCGCCTGGGTGGCTCAGTGGGTTGAGCCGCTGCCTTCGGCTCAGGTCATGATCCCGGGTCCTGGGTTCTAGCCCCGCGTCGGGCTTTCTGCTCAGCAGGGAGCCTGCTTCCTCCTCTCTCTCTGCCTGCCTCTCTGCTTACTTGTGATTTCTCTCTGTCAAATAAATAAATAAAATCTTTAAAAAAAAAAAAAAAAAAAAAAAAGGGACAGATCCCCTACCCTTCTGACCGTTAGCTTCTATTTTCCAAGTGTTCTGCCAGGAACCCTGATGAGGAATCACAGAATGTGCTGGGGAAGTTCACCCTCTGGCCTGCCTCTGCTGTTCTGCCTCGCTGAGTTCATGATCAAGCGCAGCATAAATAATGCTGTGCCTATTCAGCTAACTTGCACTTTTAGCCCTTGGAGAAATACCTACCAAATGTACAGTGCGATGGTGGGGAGTAGTCGTTTTTCCTCACCTGGGTGATTATTCCTTCTCTTCAATGTCCACGCACTTTTTAAAAAAATCTAGCTGTCCTGTGAAACTTTACACTCAGACAGATCTCGTTATCTGTTTCATGTAGAAGTGGCCAGAATGGGGGTGCCTGGGCGGCT